TAGACATTACTGGCTATGTAAATCTCTTCGGCCCCAGCTTAGCCTAAAGGAAAAAAAACTTGAAAAATAGCCCAGTTGTTTAAGTTGAGACAGAAATAACTCATCTGACGTAACCAGACAGACGAAGCAGGCAGGGGTCTCCATAGACACTCCCATGGTACCTTAGAAGTCATAAAATGTTTTAAGCAATCAGACCGCCTTGGCTATGGCCAACGGCAGATAACGTGTGTCATGGAGAGCCCTTGGCGCATCACATTAAAAAAAAGAATAAATGTTGACTGCCTTTGGCGAAACTCCGCTTTTAGATAACCCCCATGGATTAATTGGTTAGTCTCAATAAGGATGTATAGACTCATGTTTGGCGAAACAAACAGTATACGGAGAAACATACAAACGAACGACTGCCTGGACATAGCTCTTTGGCGGCGCACTTCGAGAACCAGTACTTGTATTTTGAGTCTATATACATGAAACATTGAAAATATACTATCTCAAAGAGATGTTAAATGGAGAGCTTATTTCTTGCATTTTAGGATGATTTTATGGACGTGAATTCCGTTTCTGAAGCGCATTAAATGTGATATTTCCAAGGATATAATCATGCATAAAGTCGCAGTTTTCTCCAGGTCTTACTATACTCAATGCTGTTGTGGAAATTTAGAATCAAATTATTAGATAAGTCTGAGTTAAAAGTCACAGCATAAGTGGATAGTTCAACAGTAATTTTACCACATGCAAAACAAACTCAGAGAGAAAGTTAGTTTTTTATTAGTCGTGAGTGAAGTAACTCTCTCTCGCTGTTTATTTGTATCACACTGCTAATGACTCTCGATCCCGGCGTTTTACAAAAAAAACCTTGCACAAGGTGGAATATCACTTGTAATTGAAATTAAATGTCCATTTCAAGCTATTCCGTTTCAGAGGCAGTGACCAAATTAGTAAATGGCGTTTTTATGTACGGCTATTTCTAAACAAAGGACTAAGAATTGTGTTAGGCGCTGGTAACATTATTGCTTTCCCTTTTACACGGCTTCGGCTAGGGTTCGTCAAATTAAACGTGATCGCATTCAGATATACACAGCTGACTAGCTCTCAAGAAAACTTCCAAGTCTAATAAAGGCTGTGCCTCTGTTATAGCGTGGCATGAAGTGCGTTGCTTGTCACTTTAAGGACCTTTGGCAGACGAGCACCACGCAGGACCCGTTTTTGCATTTCGAGATATTTCTCCAGGTCTCTACAACCGATTGAGAGTGGCATTATAACAGCTTCTTGTAAACAAGGCCCGAAAACAAAATCGATCGAATACGATTTAAACTACCCGGAGATTGCGTGTGGAGAAACCAACTGCCAATTCTAAGCACTGTCACTAATTACTTTTACCTTTCAGCATACAAACAAAGTCAAAACGGAAGAAGTTTTGAGGATTGCCTTGTAACAGTTTTATTTTCATAACCCCCTGACATTACAAGGGCATCTATGGGGAAAAAAGTTATAAAATATGCACCTGAACAGACTAATAAGGCGTTTATCGGAATTATTGCTCTAAACTCGGCTTGCCAAGGAGCCTCGGGCTATCTGTCGGCTTCGCATAATTTTAACAGAAAGAAGGATGCTAAATACAATACCTTGAATGAATTTGCCACATTCCACATCTTTTGATAGAATGATGGTTTGTCCTTGTGCGTTTTATTCTAAACTCTTGCTTATGGACTTAACGAATTCATACAAATACACAGAAGTAGTTTAGATGGTTCATATCCAGCAAAAGCGCTGAATTGTTAGGGATAAGTGGTCACCGCGTTTATACCAAATTATGTCGTCATAGCAACGTGGTGACCACGTCATCATGTGGTAATAATGTGGTAACCAAGTAGCGTGCGTTTTGGGTAACACCCAGTGTAGACCTTCATGTAAATGAAGAAATGGCGCAAGTATCATTGGGCCGAATCCTCCATTTCCTATCACTCATATAGTGGTAAAAAAGGAAGGAGTTTATTTAACACAATTGTAACTTTGGTCCAATCTTTGAAAAAGAAAGGGTTTTTGTGCATGCAATTTTCCAAAGACTGGCATAATCCGGCTAAGGATAAGGTTCGCCTCCACGGGTCATATCTAGTGAGATGTGCATGCGTCTGCACGTGTACATGAAATAGCGGACTACATGTGTACTGGAATAAAAAAAAACAGCGTAACTTGACAACTGTCATAATAACAATGCAATTAGCAAATGGAAGAAACCAACTACCAGCGAATGCCAATGGAGTGTTGATATCTTTCCTTCCAGGAATACACGAAACAAGTAAGTTAATGACGCAATAACAATTGAATTAGAGGGCGATCGTTAGAGCTGAAATTGCATTACCTTTGGAGCGGTTTCCCTTTTATCTTGGTCTTATCTAGATAAGGTAGATAAAGGAGTTTGGTAGTCACTTTATGTTTTACATTAGTTCAATTACTGCCGGTCTCAGTCGACCTGGATTCTGTTCTTATTGTTTGCGTTGTCAAACCGTTTGTCTCTTGGGAGTTTAATGTCCGCAAAAGAAAGTCACGTAAATATCTCATTGCGCAACACTGGAGGTGAACCAAGTATTCGTGTAACGTTACGCCGATTAAACCAAACGCTAGATAGGCACGATATTGCATAATTCGATTAATGTAAAATTTGCTCGCTGCACTTCACTAGATGTGGGGAATAATGAGAAATGGCTTGCAATTTAATTGACGTGCATTGTACAAATTGTGGAAGACTTGCCGTGTGCTGTCTGCGTGAATGCTATTAATTAAGAACTTGATGCTTTTCCGCGAATTCATACAGACAATGAACCACTCTTTATGCAGTAGTAGAAAATTCAAAATAAACGAAAACTTTACAACTCTAAGAAAGTGTATATCATAAACGTAAATAATATATATTGAAAATTTGAAAGACAAAGCTGTTTGTGAATCTACAGTAAAAATCGTTTCATGCATTGGTTTTGCAGATTTGCTTGACTAGCTGTCATTTTATTTACCAATCACTAATACTTTTACATTACAGGTACAGACATGTTGTACAGTGTAGTAATGGCATTCGGGGGGGGGGGGGTGTGCACAACACTGACATGGTTCCACAATAAAGCAAATATCCCACTGTTCGGCCCAGGGGAATTTTCATTAGACACTGTCAATTAACGAGTGAAAAGGCTTGCCAAAATGATGGTTTTAAATTACAAAAACACCAGTTTACAGGAAAAAAATCTAGGCACGCCTAATTACTCTCGACGGAAAACAAAGATTCCTTTCTTTTGATTGTGTTATTACATGTAGTTCTTAAAGTAATTACGATTACGATCTTCAACGAAAAAATCTGGCAATATGATTTATTGATTTTGAATTATAAAATAACAAATTGACGACGAAAAGGAAGAAGAGGTACGTGTCGCTTCCTTGATTAAGTTGAGGATGTGACTCATTCCTTTTACAGAAAAGCTTTTTGATTAAAAAATACACAAAAAGAGGAAATCCATTAAGAAAACATTAAGTGCTTCTTTTTTTATCCTTAACGTTGGAGTGAAAACACTGAAGACATAGATTGTAAATTGCTAGCGTACAATATTTCATACAATGGATCTCTGTGTCGTTTTTGATTGCGCTGGTTCCCTATTGTCACAGTAAATTTATTAACTTAATCTTTATTCTTAATCCAAACACGTTCTTTAAACTTTGTCGAAATTCATCACAATTTTGGAACATAAGAGATGTCCGTGCGTGATCCGGAATTTTGTTATTTTTTAAACATTTTACGAAACTCAAATATCAAAAACGAGGTTTATGTAAGTAACATACTGATCATCAATAGGAATCTCGTTTCAACTTGATAAATAGATAGATAGAAAGGTAAAACATCTCCACTTAAATATTGCCCCGACTGCCTGGGTGCTGATTGCTCAGGAATAAAAACGAAGCCCAGTTGCACTTATCTTGGATCCAGGAAACCAAACGTTTTTTTCTCCTCTTCTCCTCAATTTTGGACACTGTAATAATTGCTTTCGCAGAGTGTCGGTTTTGTCCATTTTTTGTCTTTCTTTGTTAAGGTTTTTATTCTAAAAACGCAAAGAGGGCCTTCCAACGTTTTCATTTTGTGCATATGAATCTTAAGTCAACTAGCCTACTAGTTGTAGTGTTGAATTAACTGTAAAATAGCTGAAATGGTACCCTGGAAGTTTTAATTAATGTTAACATCTATGGCGATAGTAGTGCATGAATCCAGGCGCTCAAGAATGTGCACGCTTGTAAGCGGTCCTCAAGATTGAACAGACGTGCCTTGAATGCATGATTTCAACGTTATTTACGTATTGATGGAATAAAGGCTTCTTAAATTTTATTTCCACACGTTTCAACCTTTCTCGATCGAAACTGTATTAATCATTCTCAAGCTTTAATATGTCAACAGTGGTTTTGTCACCGACTAGCTATATACGAGACACAAAATACGTTTCTGTAAATATCTGAATGGTATAACGCTTTGCTATTGTCTTCACCGTTTTATACCTGAATAATTGAACATTTCAAAACAAATCTGATATTCCCTTTATTGCTAAGTCAAGAAGGCATCATGCCATATAATAAAAGTGGGCGTTTAGCAGTGTGAATAGCTTATAATGAGCGGAGTCATTTAATGACTGATTACTGCCTTTTGAACACTCTCAGAACCCTAATGTATTAAAATGATGAATAAGACGTGATTACCGCTGCCGGGGATGTTAGTAAGTGCACGTTTGTAACGGTTTTGATAATGTGACTCGTTTTTGTTGTGCGTTATGTGTTATAAAACACTTTGTATTCAGAGACATCTCGATCACGTTTGTACACAATGTCCTAAAATCATTTTAATAAAAGTTTCCTCTTGGAAAAATTGCAGTAACACCAGATCAATTTATTTTCAATATTGATTTTTCCTATTTTGCAGACTTAACACAAGGAACAAAGAAGCTGCATAAACACGGATGTACCTGTGTAATACTTTTCATAAACTACCAGCCTTGTAACTGAGACGTTCGAAGATTAAATGGTACATCTAAACGCATCATCACAGGCTGTCACAGGAAACGCTGATAAATTGTGAAAACAAGTCATTCATATCTTTCATCTAAGACATCGCCAGAAGGATGTAGAAAATTGATCACGGAGCACCACTGAACCAACAACGCATTTAGCGCTATTTGTATGAGGGCCGTTTCAGCACATTTGTAATGGGGATAGGAACGACAGAACGATTGGAAAAGCCTTAAGGGAGTAATGCTGTCTTCAGGCTAAAATTAGAACGTGGAAAAGCAAAACATTCTCCCACGGGATAAGGACCGAAGCGGATTTTCGGGTTCAAACGTCATTGTCGTTGGAATATATTAAATCTAAAATGAAATACCACGAATTGGATAATAGAATACCTCATTGGCATTATTGACCGGAACCAAAGGATACATACAGAGTGAAACATATCCAATACCACCTCATTTGCTCAAATAAGCAGGTCTTACGCTTCTAGATAGTAATTGAATCAGCGAACACATGTTGGTCTTATCTTCCACAGTTGCTGCAATTTTCAACTGGTTCTTTGAGTCGATATCGACCTCTAACTGCAGGAGCAGCAATGCATATTCTGGAGTACTGAGGCAAGATCACTTCTCGTAGCGATCAATAGGCAGTAGTCCACTGAGCTCTGTTTCACTGCTGCTCAAGCTCTTTCTGTCGTAGGATCTTCCTTCGTTCGTTCTTCAACTTTGAAATTTACCGAAGTTTTCAGAGGAAACGAGTGGTGACAATGTTGAAATTCACTGAATTGAGAGGCCATTTGTAGAAAGGGAATTATGAGCCACCGATATGGCAAATTGGTCAGCAGTTGTTGGTTCAACACGACGGGCCTCCTCCAAAAGAGAAACAAACAGGATTAAAAGTTTTGCAAACGAATCTACGGAGCTCATCCCACTTCACTGCTCGGATTCTTGCACCAGTCATGTCGTTCCGGGCAGTTCGAATCAGAGCACCTCTGACCACGACTGTCGTCTGGCCGGGTGCGAGAGAGTGGTCATCAACGTTAGTGGACAGTACTTTGAGACAAGAATGGCTGTCCTTAACAGACACCCAGATACCCTGCTCGGCAACCCGCAGAAACGGAGAAAATATTACGACAACACGCGGGGAGAGTACTTCTTTGATAGACATCGGCCGACATTTGAGGCCATTTTCAATTACTACCAATATGGCGGGAAATTACGACGGCCGCCTACAGTACCTGATGACATTTTTCTGGACGAAATTGAATTTTATCAGATTGAAAAAGAGATTCTCGATGAATACAAAAGCGAGGAGGGTTATATCGAAGAAGAAATCATACTCCCAGATCACCCTTGTTTGAAAAAAGTGTGGTTGGTTTTCGAATATCCGGAGACCTCTCGCTTAGCATTCTTCGTTGCTATACTATCAGTATTAGCCACCTTCGTTTCTATTGTAGTTTTCTGCGTAGAAACAATCCCTGGCTTTGAGTCCACCCTGTGTGTGCCAGGATATTTGCCAGATTTCAGTGATACAATTTTCATTATAGAATCATTATGCAATTCATGGTTTACAGTCGAGGTCGTCGCTCGTTTCATCGCATGTCCGAACAAGCTTTCATTTTTTAAGGATTTTAAAAACTGGGTCGACATAGCCGCTGTCGTTCCCTATTACGTGGGACTTTTCAATATTCTAGCCACGATGAACTGCGACAATGGAAAGGCGGGTGCTTCTCTAGCTTTTCTCAGAGTCATTCGACTGGTGCGAATCTTCAAGTTGACTAAACATTCATCAGGATTGCAAGTTTTATTGTTGACATTCCAAGCCAGCATGGGAGGGCTGGGTCTGTTTCTTGTTGCCCTCTCTGTCTGTATAGTCTTATTCTCCAGCACAATTTACTACTTAGAACTTGGCCAGCCCGGCTCTCAGATAGAGAGCATACCGGACGGTTTCTGGTGGGCCGTTATCACCATGTGTACGGTGGGGTACGGTGACGTCACACCCCACGGATACTGGGGTAAAATCGTGGGGTCACTCTGCGCTCTAGCAGGCGTCCTCACACTAGCGATTCCAATTCCAATAATCACGGAGAACTTCAATAAATTTTACACCCACAAGACAAGGTCGAAATGATAAAGACTTACATGGTTAGGATTACATTACAGGGTTTGTCTTCCGCAATACGTCTCAGTATGAAGAGCTCTTTCCCATGACCTATATGTAAGGTATAATATACATGTACGTATATGTATATACTGCTTTCCTTTAGGGATTCTTCCCAGTTATTGTTGACCACAGCTTGGATAACACATGAGTATATGATATCATTACACCTACTATGATATTTAACTTTTCTTTTTGAGCTATAATTAACTCATCATAACTGTATCCGTCTCGTACATTTTGCTGTCTTGTTAATAGACACACACATCGTGTAGCTTAATTTCACTTTGCACAAACTTTTTTCAATCTATATCCAAAATAATGTACTACCTATTACGTTGACTCATTTGTAGTTTTTTGTTTCTTTTTGTCCTTTTTTGTAGAAGATTAATATTCACACCACCTATTCGCAACAGAGGGAAGGAATGTTAAACACAGTCTACTGTCGTAACAACTTAATCTAATGCTCCTCAAACATCTTCCTTTAAGTGTAAAAACACCATCTAAATGCATTCAGCGTTCATATAAGTATGCGCTTTCATAAAAATCGCGGCAAAGGTGTTATTTAAGCACTACTTAAACAAATACAAATTACTTATACATAATGCTAAATATTTTATGATTGTCCTCTTGACATTCTGTAGTATTGAAAGCTCGTAAGCAATTGCAGATTTATACTTTTTTTATGGCGTAGAATTACATTTCCACAGGTCTTACTTCGATTTATAAGCCTTCATCTTTAACAACTTAGTAGTTGATATAGACAAGGTACAGGGGTCCATATTTGTGAATCTATATGTCCAGGAGTTAGAATGGTAATCTTGCAGGCGTCCTTCAATAATAAGGCATCTCTGTATGTTTCCTCACAATTCTGGCTTGACAGCGTGTCCTTGTCAAAACTATGCAAGGAACAAGAACAGTCAAATAAGAGAGCGCACAAACGTTGAAACAGTCATCTAGGAAAAGGGGTACCTAAGGAACGAATAAGATTAATGAGCAATCTCAAGAGAAAGAAAGAAAGACAGGCAAAGAGTGATTCTGTAAAAAAATCTTCGAAGACCTGGGAATTCAATTGTGGATATCAGTTAATTTGCTGAGGAAGGTGTTTTAATAAGGAACGCAGCATGGTGGCCATTCTTATGCTCTTTGTATTACATTTTACCAATAGCAGTGTGTGCTACACGTATAAAACAATACAACTCCGTAGATCCAAATTGAAGATCGACAAACTGCAGTCGGATAATTGACAGTTGAAACGTTCGATAATCTGTGAGACAGATACCTAATAAACAAAGATCGTAGTTACGTACGTCTAAACTGAAACATGCAAACCAATTTTGTCACTACGCGAGATCCATGTACATTTAATCGCATTCCAGTATTGACCCTTCCTGTGTTATTCAAATATATTACACCTTAGGAAATATAACGTAGGGTTTCACACAATTGACGTAAAGGCTATAAGCTCATATACTTATAAGTTATTACATGTACGTTTCCAGTTTCAGATATAAATTCCGATTTGATTTGCTTTGGCGCACACGGCATGGCACTATGTACTGTGCCATATAGTGAGTTTATTACTGAATACCCATGGCATTTTAAGATGGATACATTGGTTGTGTGAAAAGACGACGAATATTGCGAAAAAATAGACACAGGGCGGTAAAATTGAGTGCAATTGGTCTAATGTAATGTAAACGTGCGACACAAATAGTGAAAGTTTTGTTAATCTTGGTTTTGAAACGCAAAGTCTTTTAAAAACATACTCTGTAATACGTAGGAAAGTACAGCTGTACTGCAATTGGACAAGGGGGAGAAAAGAGAGTGTTTAAGTTTTAAGCTTATGACAGTTAGAACATTTATAATTGATTCAGCACAAAAACAAATTATGCGACTTCTTATTCAATTCCAGCTTTTAACTCAATTTAGATTTCTGTGAATTAATATAACCGTTTACATTCTAAGCCAGTGTCATGCATTCAGATTGTACTTTATAATTATGTTCTTCTTTAACTGCATATGGTATTTTGAAATGTGCCCCTTTGGGAACAACTGTTCTGTGACAGTGGAGTAAAGCACGATGATACACACACCACGTCACAGATGTGATAATGTATAGAATACTTTAATATTGAAATGTACATACTATCGCGGCATCATAAAACGGAGGTTGTGTTTATGACATGTAACGGGGACCGTTTTGCTGTTTTATTTCATTTGACATTATATGACTCATAAATTTCATTACACTACGTATCAAAGCCTTGACCGTGTGACGCTATTGTTCTATGACAGGAATTTTCAGGAAGAGCTCCAAGAAATCGCCGAGGGCTTGTGAAATTTCCAGGAATTCTAGGAGAGCTAGGAGTTTAAGAACCGTTGCTAGGCTAAAAATGTTGTTAATAAGGTATGGTTGCTTAGTTACCAATGCCATACGTTTACATACTTCCTTTGAATTGTGATGAATAACCTCAGTAATTCTAATAAATACTATGCACATATTGGGTGGATATAAATACGCCAGAACTTGAGATTTTGATAACTCAAAAAGTCATCCATAAAAATGAAATACTATTACATAGTATACTAGTCCATATTATTTCTTTACGAACAGATAGTAAAGGTTGTGACTCGATAGTTTTTATGACATCCATGTGGCCCCCAGTATAAAATACCAGGGATTAAGCGTTATTTGGTCTCTTTCCATGTCATTGATAATTACGTCTTCCTACAGGATTCAGCAACATGCCATGCCCTTTAGGCCAGAAACTAATATTATGAACAAACTCTAAATTCATTAAGCATTTTGACCAGGTTAGCTGGGTTTAGTGGACGGATTGACCTTGGTTGCAAAAATTTTCATATTTTATCCAAAATTGTATCCTGCCATGTTTGACTTTGGTTTTTGTACTGAGTGACTTACAGATTTTACGAAACTTATGGAGTCTAAACCTTGAAAATGTCTACTGGCATACCATGAATTAGTACATTTGAAATGTCTTGGAATAACGTACAACAGATGATTTTTGATCTGTCACAATCTCGAGTTCGGGATGTTTTAGTTATCCATCTGATATATAGATAAATCATATTGATGTTTCTTGTTCTTCATTCCTCTTATTGTATGTCATATTTCATTGAGAAATACGATAGAGAAACACGGAACTACTAAATCTGTGATATCGTGCCGTCGGATAACGGTTATTCCATTAATTAATGTGCCTGTCGAACCTGTTATCACAGCCTATAACTTTTAATAACGGGCATTTATATGCTAAGTGGCATACACTGTATCTGCACTTTGTTAAAGCCATCTTTTTGGTTAATATACATGTATCTTTCTCGACTCCTACATCAAACCATATCCTTTAATACACTGAAACATTCGATTCAATTTCACATTATAAAATTGATTAATACGTTCTTAGTGATCGATAGAAACGAGCACATTTGATTAAGCCTCCAGAAATATTGTTGACATGAGTCATATATCTGCTCGCTTCCCTAAGCCAGCATCGCCTGCTTGCTAGCTGACAAGTTACTAGATGCTCTAAACTATTTAAGGTTCTAGGAAACATTCAGTCATTAATTAAGAAATTCCAGTCTTAAAATCGATCGACGGCAACTTTTTGACCTCGCTGCTTTGACAGCTGCAATACACAACTTGAAACTTACAGATAAAACATACAGTGCGTACGACCAGTTTTGACATCCTGTTATTTATATGCTTGGTTCTCTGGTTTAAGAAAGAAATTATGGATTTTTATATTGAAACTGTCGTTATAATCATTTTATCCTGAATTTAATTTGAAATAAGAAACCGGATATACATATTCCGGTGACTCCTTCATGTGATTAATATATATCCATACATATATATTTTCTTCATCCTAAATATATCCATGAAAATTTGCCAGGGTGCTGAATTATTGAATGGATGCCCCGGTATTTGTAGGCCCTATACATTTATTTGACTTTCCAGTGTACTTCTTGTCCTTATATACAAGAAAAAAAAAAAACAATTGTCAGGACTCACTTCCAGTTTCAAAGTTAATCTCCCTTCCCACCCACTTTCCGTGCGGTTACAAATTAAAACCATGCTGCACAGCGTACTAAAATAAGCGGCCCCGACGTGACTAGAAATACAACATCCCCCTGCATCTCATTGGCCTCACAGGTTGTTTCCTATGCAGGTTGTTTCCTATCGAAGTCCCACTTGGGAAATTTCTGCGGATGTAAACATGGCTTAAACAACTGCGTGGGGCGTCCGGCGTCTTGATTGCAATCCCCTCTTGTGGCGTGATACGGCAGCGCACTGTAGTTGTTGAGCTCTGGCCGTTGAGCCATTACAAATTACCTTTTCACAGAACCAGCTTTTGGACATCTTTATTTACATGTACCTATTGTGCTTTGCAATATTGGGTCTGCTTTGGGACTGTTTCTTGATCAACCCAAACAAGGATCGTAATACCTGTTTATTAAAAATGAAAATTAAATACTTTTTCTATTTTCATCCTTAATAAATATAAAAATAAAATACTTTTAAAACGTATTTCTGACACAGTATAGGTCCACCGTCGTATCACTTGAGATTATTTCATTTAAACGCTTTACGCCATCATGCAATATCTTTTCTAAAAGTGCGCATGCACAGACCGCTTACATACTCCATAAGCTCTGTGTAACAATATATTAACTGGCTTTATTGCAATAATAATAAAATAAACACGAGGCACTCTAATGTAGAGTATTAGTCATACAATATCTTATTTTGTTCGATTATTATTGCATATTTGTCATCAATCACTGCGCACTGAAACTTTGATGCCAGTATAAACATAGATTCCCATAGACTTAAATGTGGATACATCATTCGACGGCCAAATTAATTTTTGTATTGATATAAATATATGTCTTTAAAAACTTGGGAGGTAAAGCGTACTTTACACGTGTGTGTGTGTGTGTGTGTATGTGTGTGTGTGAGTGTGTGTGTGCGCGCGACAATTGCATGCCGACGTCTGGTGATTTCACCGTATATATGTACGTTTTTCGCAACACTCCATATATCTACGAAACACGTGCAGTGCCACGTTGTGCCGATATTAAAAGGGTGAACGATGTCAGCAATTTTAAGCAAATCTATTCTAAGTCTCTACGTGGCGCTTATGAATTATATTTATTGTGATTTAGAAATATTATTAACAGGGATAATCTCGTATTCCATACCTTCAAATGACTCGAGCAGTTTCCGAGCCGCCTGAATATAATGCATGGTTTTACTAGCAAATAATGGGGTTTAGCAGGAGCAAAATCAATGAAAATTTATTGACTCTAATGAACTTCGTTAAATTGAAATAGAACTGGGTGAAATCTAAAGATCCTCAATGCATTAGGTCCAATACTGTAGTTAATCTTGGCCAATTTTCCGGAGTTTTAGTTTTTAAATAATGCAATCAGGGGTATGCCGGCCTGATAGACCCCTAGATATATAAAGATAATCGAAATACACATGTGAATTACAGTGAATAACAGCGTCTTGGGTGGCATTTATTTCTATTCTTTTCAAACTGTTAATGTCCTTTCGGTGAATCGTAGTTTCATGTGATTCTAAATGCAAACGAACAAATGGATTTCCCAATTAAAAAGAGCAACCGGCCGTCCCATTATATCAAAATGTATATAATTTTCGATGAACTCATCGATTGATTGGCTGACTGGTTTGTTGATACGGTGTCCATTTTCGTCTGCTAGAAAATACTTACCTGCATTATAAAAATAAAAATAAAAATAAAAATAAAAAAGTACCTTGGAAAAGAGAACAAACATGCATTGCAATAGATAATACCCATCGGGCCGCTTGTGCGTGACCAAAATTATCTTTAAAATATGTCAAGTTTTGATTGTGTCCGAATTTATTTCCAGCAGATATTCTTATTAAATCAATAACCTGTATCTCCGTAATCCAAGGCAATGGGTGCATCATAAAGTTACAATCGAGAAGCATCCATTTTATTGTCTGCCCACATTCAGACTTCCGGTCCATGAGTCACCTCTGTGGTCCTGGGTATAGGCTTTAGTTCCTCTTGGATAAGCATTTGATTTTTTCATCATGTTTAAGCCTTGTAAATTCTTCTGGCTATCAATATAGGTCTTGCTCATATAATAACTTTCTCACTGCGTTTACAAATGTAGGCTAAATATGTTTTGAAATAAAAGGCTCATGCATCAGTATGTACTTTGTTTTGGGAAAGCAACCTTAACGTAACATGAATTATCCGTTTTATATAGAATTTAATGAAACGAAGATACATTCTTTATTCACATTTAAGTAAAACTTGCTCGTTGCCGTGACATCTAAATTTCAATTTCAATTTGGCATAATTTTCCAAATCAAAACGCTTAGAGTAACAGATATGAAAGTGTATTTTAATATTAAAAAATACGTACAGTTTGCAGTTATTATGGTTAGTCAATATATTGCTATTAAAATTACATTTTAACGTGCCTACGCACATTTTTGTAAAATATAGCCCAGAATTCAGTCAATGTAGTTTTCAAAAAAGTAAGCCTATGTCGACTTATGAAATAAATATCCAATCAAAAGCCTAAGTGTATACCAATACAATTATTATTTTACATAGTTGGTTTTTCAAACCTTGTCTTTATAGGCCTACGGATTTTTTCCTTTTTATTAATAAAGAAATATCTTGTATTATACGAACGATTATCTAAATATAAACTAATCCAAATTCACCATACATGGTGTGTGTATTACCACACAAGTTGGTATCCATTTTGCAGGGCGTTGCAGTATTTATGAAACATCTGATGATGCCCCGCGTGGCATTCCCATTTCAAGTCAATTTAAATTGAATCACAGCGATTTCTTTTTTAAGCAGACAAAATCGATTTCATGTACCGGCAAATTCGATTACAAGCGCACTGTTCAATTTGAGTTATATTTTCCAAAGCAGCTACCAGTACAGTGCCATACATTGCCAGTATGCTCTAAATTATGCAATTGTATTTTCTTTAATACTGTATATATATCATTCGTTTTCCATGATTATTGTTAACAGGTTATCGAAATATGATGCTTATCATGATATTGAGTACAGCGTTCTAACACGTAGCCTATGCCTGGTAATACTTCAGTAAATCAATCGGGCGCCAACCCCGAGCTACAGAGGTCACTGGAAATTAACTGACCACTTCATGGAAACGTCAGAGGCATGTTGATAGAAGTGGTTTGAGTGCCCAGTCGATATTTCAGGGGAGAAATATTGGAGGAAGTGCTGGGGGGGGGGGGGGGGGGGGGGGGGGAGGGGCAATAGGACCCCATGGTTACACATTGAACATTCAAAGGTTCGGTGTGAATCATTAAAAAAAAGACATTACACCACTCTCTTAAATAGCTATATCCCACATGCCCGTATTTATTCAAGAGTAGCTTCGGCTATATCAAGTCAAAAGATCTATTTATTCTGAATATGCTAGAAATGATTGAAACGTCAGAGCGGTTTGGTGCCCATATCATTCCTCGTGCCGCTGACAGCAAAACAATATCTAGGTTGACCACTGAATATGCCACAGGGAATGCAGTTACAACTTAAACGATGGACCACTGAAATTGGTATGACATTCTGTGTAATCAAAATCAATAGAGTTATGGCTATAAGACCGCGTTCACACGAGGTTGATTAAGGCCGGTTTTGATTGGTTTGATCAGAACGCTGAACTGGGCTGTTTGGATGAAGACGGGGAAATCTAGCGTATCATGCATGTATCTGATCCGGCTATTACAATTATGATTGATTGCTTGGGTGACATGCTGCGGGCCCTTTCGGTTTACTTGTAGCAGAGACTTAAATTTGCAGCGGCTTTTCTAGAACATATAAACAACTGGATCATGTTAAATGGTAGCCGTAAGTTCAACTAACTGAGTACTATACATGCATAGCAATGGAGTTAGCTATACATACAAAGATATATACTTTTATGTCAGACTCTGCAAATATAGACTCCAACAGAACTGAAGAATGAACAATTGCGTGCA